TCCCTCAGGCGCCCGCCTCGCCGGGGGAGGTGGCGGAGAGGCGCGGGGCGGGCTCGGCGTCCCGCTGTCGGCCTTCCCCTCTCGGCCTTCCCCTGCAGGACGCTCCGCGGAAGCGAAGCTGGAAGCCCCGGACGGCAGCGGGAGAAGCTCGGAGGGGGTGGGCGCGTTCGCCACGGCAGGGCTTTGGAGGGAGCAGCCCTCGCACTGCCTTCGCAAGGGGAAGAGGGCGTCGGTAATGAGAATGTTGCGTCTTGGCAGAGGTGTGAAAGCCACGCTTTGCTGCTAGGTGCGGTTCTTGTCATGCAGGCGGTCTGCTGAGTTCGCCTTACTGTGATCTTGGGAGCCTGGCTGCTTGAGAGCCGTAACATAAGGCTAGACCGCTAACATTGCGTTAACGTTTTGCTACTTTTAAGTTAGAGGAGGTGTGTTTTTGTAAGGCATTTTAGATTGTAAAGCCTGCGTAAGGGTCCTTGCTGCCCAGGCAGCTACGTTTCTTTGTTCCAAGTGCAGCTGATCTAAAATGAACTTTCGCATTTTGCCTAGCCACAGTAAAGTATCTGTAGTAGAAGACCTCTGTGGTCTCACGGTGCTATAGACGAAATGTTCATGAGCCACATATTACCTACCCTATTACAGTAGATTAATATAATTAAAGCAGTTCTGTTAGCTGGATTCTGCTGAGTTGAGTTTTATAGTTGTTTGTAACCTTTTTGTTAAGCCTTTCTCATTGCTGGTATATTGATACAGCCTTTTCCTTGTTTGGCTTTTTTGGTATCTAATGAAATAGGCCAATCTGCAGCTTTTTATCAGTTAGAGGGTTAAAGAAGAGGAGAGATACTATTGGGCTGCATATTGTTATTAAATCTATAGGAACTTAATGTTTTGAGATGCCTCTTCCTCCCTCAAATTTGGTTGAAATTGAAAAGAAGGGTAGGAATTAAGCATTGTGATTAGGTGGCTGGAGCACATGGCACATTGATTGGGAGAGGCTGAGGATTTCCACCTAGAGAATCATAGAATCATAGAGGTTGGAAAAGACCTCCAAGATCATCGAGTCCAACCATCGACCCAACACCACCATGCCCACTAAACCATGTCCCTAAGTGCCTCATCTACTCGTCTTTTAAATTTGTCCAGGGATGGTGACTCAACTACTTCCCTGGGCAGCCTGGTCCAATGTTTAACCACTCTTTCAGTAAAGAAATTTTTCCCCATGTCCAATCTAGACCTCCCCTGGCGCAACTTGAGGCCATTTCCTCTCGTCCTATCGCTAGTTACTTGGGAGAAGAGACCGACACCCACCTCGCTACAACCTCCTTTCAGGGAGTTGTAGAGAGAGATGAGGTCTCCCCTCAGCCTCCTTTTCTCCAGGCTAAACAACCCCAGTTCCCTCAGCCCCTCCTCATAAGACTTGTTCTCCAGACCCCTCACCAGCCTCATTGCCCTTCTCTGGACA